CATCTTAGTTTTTTGGATTACTCTAGTTTTTTTTTAATGATTTTAGTATAATTTGTTCAACTAATTAAGCTGGATATGTCAATGTGATTCTTATATAGTTTGAATTGACCAAATTGAAAATCAAATTGAAGAAGGACTAGAGATATGAGAGAGGAGCAAAACCTAATGAGGAAGAAGAAGGGTGTGCCATGTAACCACGTCGACGTCGCTTAGCAGACGCGCAGGTGAGTGTAAAAATGTCCAAAATCTCGTGCGTTGATCAGTTACTTTATTTGTCTAAATCCATAACTATATTGTGTCTTTTAAAGTCCAATATACTACTACTTCACTAACTGATCCTAATTCGAATTAGCCATTTGATGAAAATAATGTATATTATCTTAAAGTTATATTAAATTTTCTATTTTTTTAAAAAAACTATCCATAATTACCCAAAATACTCGTCACGAAAGCAATTTTAGCTACTTGAATGGGCCTGACTCTCAAAGCCCATTCGTTAGAATTATAAACGGAATAAAAGTGAAGCAGCAGCAGCAGAAGGCGTAGAGCAGGATCTGTATTTGAATCTTCAATCAAAGAGCTCTTCGCGAATTCTCTGGAAAACAAAAGATGCAGGTTTGTTTTCTCCAGTTCGAAACCCTAATTTTTCTTTACACAATTTCTTCAATCTGGGATAAATTTCTTTTTCTTCTGATCTTCTATTTTTTGTTTGTTTTGTGGGTTTTGGTGCAGGCAGGCAAGTGATAGGTTTAACATAAATTCTCAGCTTGAGCCATCTTCAAGCTAAGTATGTTGGTACAGGTCATGCCGATTTGAGCAGATTGTGAGTTTTTTTTGGCTTCTTCACTTAAACTGGGTTTTTTCGGGTTTCTCAATTGTTGACTAATTGGAATGTCTGTTACATATGTGTATAGTGAATGGGCTGTGAACATTCAGCGTGATAGTTATGCTTCGTATATCCGATGCTTGCTTACTTTGCAATCGCTCAGAACGAATCCATTGGACGAGAACGCTACAACTTCATGCAGGTTTGCCTTCCTTCTTCTGACTATCATATTGAATATATGTTAATGTGTTATTGTTTGTTTGTTCACTGCTCAAGTTAACGGTTCAGAACGAAAAGAAATTGATTTGAAATTCGTGCAAGGGTTTAGAGTTGAGTTTTTCAATCTTACTTGGGCTTTAAAGGAATGTAATTGGAAATTAGGAGAGTAGAGATATGAAGCCAATACCTTTTTGCTTCTATTAGGAACACTTCAGGGTTAGGATTATTGATTCTAAGTTTTAGCTGATGAGGGTTGTTTCAAACGGTTATGCTTAGTTATCTTCTTCTTGCTTTTTCATACAAGATAGTGTCCTATGTTTTCTCTGCATCATCTAGAGTATCTGCACTCCTTTGCTTCATTATCTTTTCTCATGATTGAGTGATTTTGTTTTGCTAAAGTTTATGTGGCTCTAGCTGTTGATATCGCTTTGCTGATCAATAGACTATACGGTGTCACACCAATATTTGCAACTGACTTCTTCTCCTTGTGAACACTAGTTTAACCTAACAAGGGGATATTAAAATACAAAGCTCAAAACTCCTAATAGATTCGACATCCGCATAGCGCAATTAACACTTATCTTGTCTCCATTTCTTTAAGCTCGTGTTTAATTCAGAATTATGGCAAAGCTAATGTTTCCCTTTGTGTCATCTTTGATTTTTGCAGAAAATGCTTTTACCTTGTGGCCTTCCTCCAGAAAGAGAAGATGACTAAAGAGTTTGCAAGTGTTTCGGTAATTGGAATCAGAAGAGAGAAAAACCAGTTTGATCTTTCTACTTCTTTTTTTTGTTTTGTTGTCAACATCTTTCTACTTCTTATGAACTCTTTTATGAATTGTTTGTACTGAACTACCTATAAAACCCTCTCTCAACTCTCTTATTGTGTAAAACATATATTGTCTTGATACAATGAAAAATTACTATTCTTTTACATAATAGTTAACTGAAAGCCTTTGGTGTAATGAACCTTAAAAGTCTTACAAAAGAATTGAATTTGAAGACAACATAAAATGTTGTTATGTAGAAGTTAGAAACTTGGAGTTGAATAAATGGAACTAAAAGGAGCAAACTTTGCGCTTGCTTGCTTCTCATTTTAGAAGATGAGTTCATCAAAACACCTAATCAAAACCTTAATCAAGAATCCCACTCGAATCAAATCCAAGTATCAAGCCAAGCAGCTTCACGCACAGTTCATCAGAACGCAATCTCTGTCTCACACTTCTGCTGCAATCGTAATCTCCGTTTACACCAACCTTAAACTCTTGCACGAAGCGTTGCTTCTTTTTCAGACGCTCGAGTCTCCACCTGTACTCGCATGGAAGTCAGTCATCAGATGTTTCACAGACCAGTCCTTGTTCTCTCGCGCATTGGCTTCGTTCGTCGAAATGAGAGCTTCTGGGAGATGCCCAGATCACAATGTTTTTCCTTCTGTCCTGAAATCGTGTACGATGATGACGGATTTGAGATTGGGTGAGTCTGTTCATGGGTGTATTGTTAGGCTTGGCATGGATTGTGATTTGTATACGGGAAATGCGCTCATGAATATGTATGCTAAGCTTCTTGGTATGGGTTCAAAGATTAGCGTCGGTAAAGTGTTCGATGAAATGCCTCACAGAAAGTTTGATTCCGAAGAAGTTGATGATAACGGAAAAAGTTCACATTTTGACGGAAGTTCGGGTTCGTATCGTGTTGCCACGGAATCCGTTGAATCTGTTATGAGCTGTAGCGAAGATTTACAGGCTGAAACTTGCGTTGGTTATTATAATGGAAGCCGAGTAAATGCTCTAAGCACTTTGCCTTTAGGAATAGATAGTGTGAGGAAAGTTTTTGAATTGATGCCTAGAAAGGATGTTGTTTCGTGGAATACTATCATTGCAGGGTATGCACAAAGTGGAATGTATGAAGATGCTTTGAGAATGGTTAGGGAGATGGGAAGCAATGATTTAAAGCCTGATGCTTTTACTTTGTCAAGTGTTCTTCCGATATTTTCTGAGAATGTGGATGTTACTAAGGGAAAAGAGATTCATGGGTATGCGATTAGGAAAGGGATTGATGCTGATGTATATATTGGGAGTAGCTTGGTTGATATGTATGCAAAAAGTGCTCGGATTGAAGACTCGGAAAGAGTGTTTTTTCACCTGTCTCGTAGGGATAGTATCTCATGGAACTCACTTGTAGCTGGGTATGTACAGAATGGTAGATATAATGAAGCGCTGGAATTATTCAGGCAAATGGTTACCGCAAAGGTTAGGCCAGGACCTGTGGCATTTTCAAGTGTGATGCCTGCTTGTGCTCACCTATCCACCTTGCACCTCGGAAAACAACTTCACGGATATGTAGTAAGGGGTGGCTATAGCGATAACATATTCATAGCTAGTGCACTAGTGGATATGTACTCGAAATGTGGGAATATTAAGGCTGCTAGGAAGATTTTTGACAGGATGAATGTACATGACGAAGTCTCATGGACAGCTATCATAATGGGGCATGCGTTACATGGTCATGGGCATGAAGCAGTTTCCTTGTTTGAGGAAATGAAACGGCAAGGAGTGAAACCGAATCAAGTGGCATTTGTTGCTGTATTAACTGCGTGTAGTCACGTGGGGTTGGTTGATGAGGCGTGGGGCTATTTCAACAGCATGACTAAGGTTTATGGTTTAAACCAGGAGTTAGAACATTATGCAGCTGTAGCGGATCTTCTAGGCCGTGCAGGGAAGCTGGAAGAAGCATACGATTTCATTTCAAACATGCGTGTTGAACCTACAGGTAGCGTCTGGTCTAACTTATTGTCTTCTTGCAGCGTTCACAAGAATCTTGAGCTAGCCGAGAAGGTAGCAGAGAAGGTATTCACTATTGATTCTGAAAACATGGGAGCTTATGTTCTGATGTGCAATATGTACGCATCTAATGGGAAATGGAAAGAAACGGCGAAACTGAGATTGAGAATGAGGAAAAAAGGAATGCGGAAAAAGCCAGCTTGTAGTTGGATCGAATTGAAAGACAAGACTCATGGGTTTGTTTCAGGAGATAGATCGCATCCGAATACGGATAGAATCAACGAGTTTCTTAATTCTGTAATGGAACAGATGGAGAAAGAAGGGTATGTTGCAGACACAAGCGGCGTGCTACACGATGTAGACGAGGAGCATAAGCGAGAGCTTCTGTTTGGACACAGCGAGAGATTGGCTGTTGCATTTGGTATCATCAGCACAGAAGCTGGCACGACGATTAGGGTCACTAAGAACATAAGGATTTGCGAGGATTGTCATGTCGCGATCAAATATATTTCGAAGATCACCGAGAGAGAGATTATCGTTAGGGATAACAGCAGATTCCACCATTTCAACCATGGAAGCTGTTCTTGTGGAGACTATTGGTAATGGAAGTGTAACTAAAACTTCTTGTCTTCTTCAGTTGGTTCAGCGTCAAAACGCAGTCGCATAGGGGACATGTATTCATTAACACTGATTGTAGTGTTAGACAAAGAAATGTGCAAATGATATTTTATTGTACTTTCAAATCAATAAGAAGCAATTTATTATATGTTTTATGGGGAATTATTTGGATAGTATAAAAGTTTGCAAAATATATTTAAATAATTATGTGGATATAAACTTTTTTTTTGCTAAACCAACTAAAGGACATTGATTGATTTTCAAACGAGAAAGTGGATTTTGCATGGTTTTGTAATAATTTTTGACAAACAATAAATGGAAATGGAGAAGTTTGGACATAAATATATGATCTGTTGTGTATACGGCAACAACAACAGACAGAAACTGACCTTACCTTCACATTATTATCATTGCTATTCCTTTTTTTGGCACTACCAACATTTCATTTTTTATGTAGTGGAAAGTCGACTAGTCGTCACAATAATATAAAAATACATGTTTCTCATGAATATTGTTTGGAAAACTTTAACCCGTTTGCAAATAGATAATTCTACAGAATAACAAAGAGAAATATCTAGACATAATTCGTAAATCGGTTAAATTTTTCTCAAACAAATATATATATAAAAAAGTTTTTCAAACGAAGTAGAGTGCCATTCGAGTGGTGATACAACGTAGTAACGATTTTTTTAGTGATAAAATATGACTTTCACGATACAACATTGTGGTCAAGGCGTCAAGATAAGCACCATACAAAATTGGTGGTTACAAGATTAATATTTGTCGATTCTTTGTATTTATACCACCAACTCTCTACTAACTCGTTTTTTCGCAAGGTTGATTTAGCAATATATCTTTCAGTGTAGTTCAATCAAATTTTAATATAGTACAAAACAATTTGTTGGATCTTTTATGTTGGACTATTTTTAACTTGGTTATTTCTCGATTAATGTTAGTCTAATATCCATTTTCTCCATGAATATTTTCTGTTGTGTTGTTGTTTTCAATTAAAAAAAAAAAAAAGAAGAATATTTTCTGTTGCGCTCTTTGCTAATTAACATATCGAAATGTGGTATTGTAACAATTCACCTTAATTAAAAATTGAACTTGGTTGCAGTAGTTGTGCTAAATCCAACTCTCTCTTTTAAAAAAGAGTTGGAATTTCGAGAGTCGGTAGCACTAATCTTACTTTGCTTCTAGTTTTCTTGTCGTTTACTTTGGATTTGTTCTTTTGCTTGGCTTTCCATCGATTATCATAATTTTGGTAATTCTCTATATATTCATTCAAGAGACACTAAAAAAATAATTTGATGTATCATTTAAAAAGCAATTCAAGGGACACTACATTTAAATAAATCAATCAAAATATTTTATTTAAAATTATATGCCATGATAAAAATTTCTATATATTCTCATTAATTTTTTTTTAATATAAACCAATTAATAAATATTAAAAAATATATATATCCAACTAAATATAACATTTTTTATACTTACCATATCATCTATTTTTAATTATTTTTTATACATTAACAAGTTTTTATTATCATATATATATATTTTTTATATAGATTAGTGCATTACACAAATAACTTTACTATGAGGTAGTCTGCATATTTAATCACAGTTACAAATATCTATACATTTCATTATTAGAAAACATATTTTTTTTTGGTAATATCCAATAAGTTCA